TAAAGTGCAGCACTAGGAAGCTGTCGGCAGCCGCTGCAGCATGAGCTGGATCCCGGCCAGGGAGGGACCCACACGGCCCAGCAGACTCTCCTGTTCCATGCGCTGCTCCCCTCAGCAGTGTGCTTCAATCTGCCTGTTCTTCTCCCCGCTCTGTCTCTGGTGCATCCTCTCACCCCCCCCTCCTTCTCTGGCCTGTACCCCAGTACTTGTATGCATAAATAAACAACTCTTTAAAAAATAAACTAAAATAGAGACTGGCTTCTCTGGGCACGCGTGTCCTAACTATAAAAACATGGCAGCTTTCCATAAGGCTGCACAGGTACTTGTGTTTATTCATGCCCACAATTAAATAGTCCTCACGACTAAGGTCTCACTATCCTATTGTGCTATGCATTTTTCTCTGGTTTTATTTTTATATACAAATGTTATTTGCAGAGAGACTGTGTATGTAGCTTAGGCAACATTTTCTGTCTGGCTTCGATGAGTTACTTAAATGCTCTAACACTCTTTGGAGACAGTCAGGAGTAACTGGATTTGAATCTCAACCCTTATTTAATAGCCACCTCTAGGCTGAGCGAGCTTTTAGGTAAAATGCAAACCACAAGGCCTCCTTTCTAGGTCGACATGAAAGCTACATGAGTCAATGTACTTCAAATCTGTAGCCCAGAGCCCAGGTGGAAGGCAGGGGCATAATAATAACAGTTATTTTTATAATAAATCAGTTATTTTTATAATAAATAACAGTTATTTTTATTAACAGTGGTAGCATGTCCAACTTTTGGATCTTTTTAAAAATGGGGGCGTGGCTTTACAAACGATAAAGTCCTGTGCAGATGGGATGACTGATCAGTAGCAGTGAAAACTGCAGTATGTGGCAGAAGAGCTGAGCTTCCAGGCCAGAGGGCCACGCTAGCCCCAGCCCTACTGCCTAGAGCACGCAGGACCTCGCTGGCTCGTCGGCTCCCACAGATGAGTGGCAGTGTGGTCTGGACATCCCCCCTCCTCTTCCTGGCTAATACTCAGAAGACAGAGCGCCCGCTCTGATGTACCACGCTGCACCAGCAGCAAAGTCAAGTGTACGGCCTCCCCAGGGCCAACCAGTGGCTGTGGCTTTGAGAAGAACAGATCTGTTCCAGGTGATCCAGCTGGCTCATGCTTTAGTAAAAGTTATAGATCCCATGTTCCTGGGAAAGGCAGTTGGGTAACCCAGTCTTCTGACCCCCATTCTATGGTTTCTGCAGCTAACGTGGGATAGGAACAGAGGGAGTGATTTTAATTTCAAAAACATACAACACACCTGGCCAACACAAACAGAATAAAGAGCAAGTCAAAGTCTGGAAAGGAATTAAGAAGACATGTATTGTGCAAGTGTGTTTTGCGCAGAGTGCCACGTGTGTACTTGAAGGAGGGCAGAGCTATGGAAGGATCCATTTAGTCATGTCGCAGGCTGCATACCTCGGGGCTGAAGAAGAACTTCCTGCTGCTGGCTAACTGCTGCCAGGTGTGTCTGCAGAGATTCGTAATTCTCCGAAGCTATTTTAATCACGCTGCTTATGGGGATGCCAAGCTCCGTCATAATCGCTAATAGCTGAGGATTGTTGAAGCCCACAACTATAATGTAATGTTGGGCACCATCGTCTGGCTCATCGTCTGTCGAAAATACCATAAAGAAGAGCAGGCGTCACCTTAAAAGAGAACAGGTTGCACTCAGCCCGTTCAATGGCCCTCTACATTATGCATGCGTTTATAATCACGCCTGCTTGCCAAAAACAGTCCAGTTGGCTGGAATGCAATCATGTTGACTGGTTTTCATTAGTGCCCTTCCAGTAAGAAGGCTGTGGCCATTTTACAAAATATTAAATCACTTTTGCAATGAGACATAGGCGTAACAGGAGAACAAACATACATGAGGCCTGTGGTCATGGAAAATGTGTGCTGGGGTTTTTGTAAAAATAAAGTTTAGGCTGTAATATTTTTTCTTTTTCTTTTCTTTTCTTTTTTTTTTTTTTTTTTTTGGTTCTAATCTCTTTTGAGTCACATCTGGCTTTACTCCTGAATTACGAGTAGCTACAGCTTTGTGGTATTTTATAAGTAGAGGTGTTTACAGGAGAGGGAAATATCGAATACGGACCTGCTCCCTACCAGAGTATTCTGTGCGTTCACGCCACCGGTGTGAGTGCCGAGCGGGGGCTAAGCAGCAGCTGTGCATCTGTTGCATTAAATGAACAAGATAATGACTGTGCACGCGCCTAAAATTTTCCCCTTCTATTTCGTGCTGGTGGCATTGCTCTATCGATGTTTAAACATGCGTTTATCTTAGGAGGAGAGGCTCTGGGGAGTGCGCATCAGGACCCTATTTTAATACTGATTTACAGGCTACCTTCAGATCAGTTTACCAATGGCACAACAGTGCCGCCCACTTCTAATTTCTCAGTGACACTCTTCCTTCCATCACTGAACAAATCATGGCTGGTATGACCTACTGGGTCCACTGGATCACTGCTTCTAGTCTAGGGGTTTCCAAGCTGAGAGCTCTGGGGTGCCAAGTTGGTGAAGGGTGGGAAGGCACACCATTCCACTCCAGGGCAAGTGACAACATGCAGAGCTTCAACGGGCTCAGGGACAATGGCAACGAATTACTCACCACTGTCTACGTCAGACCATTTCTTTGTAACGCGTCTGGCATGGAAGGGAATTCTAGCTGTTCTAGCCAGGGTTGGCGGTGGGAGAGACCCAGGTCTGGAAGCTCTGTGCTTTCATGGAGTTACAGACTCACTGGTCTGGCTGTATAACTGTTGGGTTTCACTCCAGGCAAGACTCGCTCTTCCCTCTACCTTACAATCACGTCTGACTTCTACAGAGATTTCCAGCAGGACGGTCAGCGCTCCCGTGGCACAATCAACTCATCGCCCCCTTCGTCATGTGCACCCTGGAAACGTGCCCATAGCGAGGCGTGTGCTGGGTGTTTATGGAAAGCGCGAGTAAATGGCAAGTAGGAATGTTCTCCCACTGGGTGGCAAGCATGTGACTCACGGCTTACAGAGAGGGAAGAGACGGGACGGTGAGGCACGGCGAAGGCCGTGCAGCCCAGCTCCCTCCCGGGGCGCGCCAGGCGGAGGGCGCCAGCGGCCACCACTGACCGATGTAGTGCTTGGTGCCGTCCTCCTCGCCCCTGCGCTTCAGCTGGGTGGTCTTCTTCACCGCCGCGCCGGCCTCAGGCTGGTCCTTGCCCTTCCCCTTGGCAGCCCTGGCACTTGGCGTCTTCTTCTCCTTGGGAGATTTGGCTTTGCCTTTGTCCTTTTCTATCTTAAATCTATCTTCTGTCACCTGGAAAGACACAACAGTTTTTTTCCACCCGAGGGAGCGAGCAACGGCTTTTCGTCTCGCGGGTGCACGGACGTTCTGTGTCACCCGATGGCTTGCGGCCTCATTGCTCATGTCTTCATCCCTTCAGTCAGGATGGCTGAGTCCCACGGGGAGCTGACGCCGGGATAAAGCGCGCCGGGGGTGAGATGGAGGGCAAGGGCCGGGGAGGAGGCCGTTTACAGGGGGACAGCCGGTGCCAGCAGAGAGCGGCGTGAGGACTAGGAAACGTCTCGGCTGCTGGGACACAGTGAGGGTGGGGGGATCTATCCTGCTGCCTCACCTGGGGCAGCACCTCTCTGAGAGGCCACTGAGGACATACACAGCAGCTAAAAGGGAAGCAGAAAGAGAAGTTTTCTCCAAACCTTGACGAAAGTTTTCAAAATTTATATTGTTATAATTATGAACGCCAAGACCTCCTAACTGAGCATTCGTAAAGGCTAGAGGGGCCTTTGGGGAGCGAGGCACAGCAAATATTTGTTTTATAATGCTACTTGCACAGAGTCCGCGGCCGACCTTGCTGCGGTCAGAGGCGGGTCACACGCGCCCCCACGGCGGCCACGCCCGCCCGCCAGGCATCAGCACGGACCGACTGACCGTCCCAGCGTTTCTTTCCTCTGTTTAAACATCTGCCTACACCTGGCCCGGTCACTCATAATGCCACTCTGCTTTCACCTCACGTGGTGTTCCTGGGAGCGCAGCTGCCACAGCATCTAGGGCACACGGGAAATCCACAGAGTACCGACACTGCTTAGTTTCCCCGAACTGCACAGCACCTGAGGCAAGGAGAACTAAACAGGTCATGTGGCCCAGCCTGGGGTCCTGTTTCCCTGAAGCCACAGCGTTACAGCCCGGTGTGAACGGGGCTGTGCGTCACTCAGCTGTACTGCAGATGCTCACAGGAAGGTCAACGGTGGGCTGATTTACAAGGGGGAACAACCCAGGGAAAGAGGCAGAGATACAAGTTAACCGGGGCGTCCCACTAGTTCCACTCACTTGGAACCCCAGTAGCATGCTGAGAGCTGATCAAGATCCAGCCACCAGCCACGAGGCCACGAGAGCGAGCCTCAGCCCAACATGTCCACCTTTATAGCCAAAACCCCAAAATGGCTGCTTAACTCCATCCTGGGGTCCCAGCATCCTTCCTCTGGTGTTGCTGGGAGTTGTAGTTTCGGTGTCGGGAGTGGGGGTGACGGCACGGAGGGAGCTGGGGGTGAAGGCCAAGGGAAACAGGTCAGAAGGAGATGGAAGGCAAGGCGCTCCCTGGCCTCTTTTCCCTATGCTGTTCCTCAGGGGCCCGCAGAGAGCAGGGCAGACCACAGCCAACATTTTCCCAACAGTGACAAACTAGTAGCAGAGGCTTAGCTACGTCGTCCGAACCGTACTTCCCAGACATCATCATCTTGAATTTGCACCCACAAAACCACCTGCCAGATGGGCAATCTTACCCCCAGGAATCAAGACACAGCTGTGGTGGAGACACACAGTTTGGGTTAGAACCCAAGCCTAACTCACTTGGTTCTGTGGTTCCGTGTTAGTCGGTGTCTCTCCCGCCCCCACCTCCAGCCCGTCGCCCCCCCACGATGCTCTGCTCTCCCTCAGCTTCCCTGCCTCTGGCTCTGATTTTTTTGCCCTTGCATACCCTTCGCTGGGCCAGACCCAGGAGACGGGAGAAAAGCATTTTATTTTAAACTAAATTTCCATTGCTATTCACTTGTTAATATCAACCATCCTCACGTACGTTCACACAAGTATTTTTTTTTAATAGTTACACATCCTGGCTTACTCCGTTAGCTTTTCTAAATAATCACGATTCAAAAATTAGAAAAAAAAAATATGAAGAACTTACAAAAATCATCATAATCCCATCACCCAAAGGAGGAGGGAGGGGATCCTGACAGCCTTTCAAGCTGTTTCTGCGTCCGTTTGACAGGATCGCCATTTTTTGTGTTGATACAACTTAATGTTCTGCATTTTCCATTTACCACTGATGTACCTTCAGTTAGTAAAATTTCAAAGAATATTACTTTGTAAGGGAGCCTCTAGGCAGAGCTACTCTGTGGGCACTTTCCTGGAGGAGAGAAACGACAGGGCAGAAGACAGAAGCTACTGGAAGAGCCTGGCCCTCCTGGACTGGTGACCCAGGCAGAGACGCCCTGGGGATGTCTGTACATGTGTTTGGCTACACCTGTCTTCTGCTGGACCATACCTGTCTTCTGCTGGCCTAGCGAGGGCTCACCTGGACCCCTTCTCCTGTTCAGTCTCTTCCCACTCCTCCCACCCCCCACACCTGAGCTGGCCCAGGAGAGTCGCTCTGTCTCTGTGGTTCCAGACAGGGTCCTCGAATTCTACACAGGTCCAAAGGTAAAGAATCATTTCTACCGTGTCCAAGGCACAGAAAAACCACCCCCTGTCTTCTTATCCTTCTCTCAGTCTTAACTCAAAACCTCAGTCAGCCCCTTGTGACGATGGGTTTAGGTTTTGGGATTTTGAATGGGGGTAGTGAACCAGATTAGCTAAGCCAAAAAGTGGACCCTGCTCCTAAATCATCAACTAAAATTTGTCCACAACAACTTCTTCTTTGACCAACCTTGTTTCTGGAAAACACAGCAGTGCGTGTCCCTATGCTGTGGTTACCTACTCACCACGTAAGGAACTCAGAGGGGACTTGTGCCGATTAAAGGCAAGTTTAAACTTTTAAGAGGAGCTAGCCAGAGAGTGCAGCTCTTCAGCACGTCTGGAGAATATGTGTTTCAAGCATTGAAAGAAAGAGTTAAATTTGTGACAGAGTCCATTTTCCTTAAAATGTGTGCAGAAAGCACATGGATGTCTCCTACTGTGAGAGAGCTTGGGATGAGGGCAGAGAGATTTCTGAAAAGTTTAAGCTACCTAGCAGTTGTGGGGCTCTCAGCCACAACTGACAAAAGTGCAAGCATCTCACCTACTTAGAGATACCCACATACAATACTTACCAGTGGTGCCTTGTTAGTCTCACTTTTTAAAGGGAAAAATACAGCATTCCCCCTCCCTGTAACAAGGGAGCCCAGTTATACAACACTTAAAAATGTTTTATTCTAAACATCAAAATTCAAATGGATGTCAACATTCCTGACACCAAACCCCCTTGATGTCAAAATTCAAATACTATGAAATATCTTCAAGTACCATGACAGCTTTTGAATCTTTTATTCCTTGTAATGCAAAGAGATGTGAATGGTAAAAGTCAATGTCAGATGGAAAATATCTATACTTCATTTTATCCCCATAGTTAACAATGTACGTACACATTTGTCTATGTATATACAAACGGATAACGTTGTGTTTCGACGATGATTTATTATTAGGCCTGCTAAAATATTATTAAGAATAGAGAAAAGAACCTTCATGGAGGTTAAGGGACCTAGTCACTCCATTATTATTTATGAGCAACTAGAATGTTCCTCTAGTTCTTTTGCAAGCTGTCATTCTATTTTCTAAATAATCTGTCCTACCACCTGGCCCCAGCTGGGAAAAGGCCGATGAATAGACTGAAAGAAATGTGTGGTCTCAAATAAGGTTGAGAGATTTATTTTCATAAAAACCCTTCCTCCTTTATAAACCAACGCACAGTTAAATCATACATAAAAGTTGTGGATGTGTGTGTGTCCACACATACAGAGAAAGGACATAGACATTTCTGAGCTGTTTGACTACGGTCCCTCTTGTCTTTAAATGGAGAAATGGGTCTGAAAAGCTTTAGAACCTATTTTGGAAACATCATTATGGAGAACACTTTGAGGTCTGATGAATCTATTACGTTAAACCTACACTGAGGAAATTATCCAGGGCGTGGAGAACCCTATACTATAAAGCTGCTTATCACACTGTTTATATAAAAACCATGTGGCGAGACCATAGCAGCTCAACAAGAGGGCGCTTTGCCTAGGCCAGAGTATCACATACCCAATAGCAGTGATGGGTGTGGATACTGTGGTAGTAAGCATTCAGGTACACTATAATTGAAAACATACGAGACTGAAAATATTTTCACAATGACGACAACATGTAGAAAAGAACAGAAAGAAACATACCTCATGTTAACACTGATTGCCCCGAAATTATGGCTTTAAGGATGTTTGCCTTTTCTATATTTTCTACTTATTCTTCCTCCCCTTCCCCTCCCTGCCCCCCCCCCATCAAATAGAAAATAGAACACCTGGGATTGAGCTAGGCTATCGCTTCTCCAAAAAGCTACCATCGCGTAGAAAACGTAAGCCTGGAGGTATGGGAGGCGATTGGGTTCACGTGACCCAACGCTGCGGCCTGAAGAATGCTTCGAAACGCCCCGGTGGGCCACCTTGATATTTTTTTGGGTACAATTGCTGAGCCACAGACTCAGAGCGATGCCATGTCTATGCGACACGGGGTGGATCTGATCCCTGTCTGGTGTCTGACTCCTGCAGGGTCCTGTAGACTCAGAAACGTGAGCATTAGGTGAACTGACATCACCTGCCTCGCCTGTGCGCAAGCTGGAGGGAAGGGCTGGGCTGTCTGGGGTAACGTTAGGAACTTAGCTCAGAAGATCGCCCCAGAAAGCAGATCACTCCTGAACAGGGGAGTGGAACTGGAAATGAAGTCAGGATTTCCCGGGGGGGTTGCGGCTGGTTCAGCCAGTGACCTTTGTTTTGGGTCCTGTCCTAGACTGTCCCCTAGACCTCTTTACCTCAGGATACCACGCAGGAGGTCTTGGGGGGACCAGATGGCTGTCGGCAGATTACTGAGCAAAGCCTCCTCTTACAGGGAGGCATTTCTGAGCAGGCATTCCACTGGCTGTGAGCCAGGAGAGCTGCAGTGCAAAATTAGGGAGACCCATCAGGAGGGGCACACCGAGGGCCTGAAAACAGGGTCTTGAGAGTCCCACAGTTTGGGATTTCACACCCAGCTCCAACACTGAACATCTGTTCGACCTTGGGAAGCTCAGCTGTTCAAAGCTTCGGTGTTCACATCTGCACACTGGGCCCGAGACGCTATACCTGAGTGAGTCATTCGAGAGGCTGAACGATGTTAACCTGTCTAAAGGGCATAGGATAGTAGCTAATTATCATTCGTTCTTTTGGTAGCCAGCTATTTTATTAGGAAATAATGACTCGATTTTAAAAGTGTTTCTTTACCTTCTTCCTGAAGTCTGGAAAATGCTTGCAATAATTAAAAGCATTCCAGGGTCCTCCCTGGTGGCGCAGTGAGTTAAAGCACAGCATTAAGAAGCTAAAGCCACTTCCGCATGAGTTCGATCCCTAACCTGGAGCTGACCCACATGGCGCAGCAGACCTCTCCTGACCCGCTTGCTGCTCCCCTCAGCAGTGTACTTTGTCAGTTGGCCTGTTCTGCTCCCCGCTCTGTCTCTGATGAAGCATCTCACTGCCCTGCACCTCTGACTGTACCCCAGTTTTGTATGCATAACTAATTTTTTTTTTTTTAAGAAAAGCACTCCAGTTACTTACAAAATCAGTGTTCAATGTAACCAGTAAGTCAGGCACAGTCTTAATGTTATTTACTCTGAACTGTTGGATTTTGTAGCTCTTTAGGTCCCACAGTCTTGCTCATAGTACCTGATTCTGATAATCCAGCCTCAAAGAATTCCATCCCGTTAGTGAGGCGAGTTATTTCTTCCCTGAAACCACACGGGTCCCTCTAAACTGAGTTCCTGCTCTTCCTCTGTTTGATTTCTTAAAATAGTTTCTGAAGATTTTAACCACAACTGAATCAAAACTAACCAGCCTGTAATTTCCTGGTATGTCCCTATGGCCTTTCTTTTAAAACAAAACACACACACACAATGGCATTACATTGGCCGGGGTCCAGCGTTTCAGGGTTTCAACTGGAGTGAGCTGGAAACCGCCGGCCGGGGACACCCAATTTCTCCTTGCCCCTCCGCTGCGACAGGCGCTGGGTGTGTGTGTGGCTGCATCGTGGCTTCCTGTCAGATTTAGGCCCTACACATTTCGGGCTGTTTTGAGGAAAGTCTACCAATGCCATCTCTTTACTGTGTCGCCCGCCCCTTCAATTCCAGCACACCCCAAAATACAGCACTAAGCATTGATCAGAAAGAGCAAGACCTGACCTGTTTTATTAAAAAAAAAAAAGAAGAAGAAGACTTGCTTACGATATTTGAGAAAATATGGCCTGGCTGTTGGAATTCAAGACTTAAAATACACACCGATGTTGTCGGCAAACGAGTGCGCTTTCTGGGCCCAGCTAGGGGCACAGATGACCAGACTTAGCTTGGCTGATTATCTACGTGGCTATTGTTTTTTCATGTGATAGCAATTTTTATCCATTTCTGATGATGAAATGTTTTCATTTAGTTAAAGTCTCTTTATTTTAAATATTTTGACTCACAATCAAGTGTTTGGGTTTGAAATAAGTGATCATAATGAAAATATAACCAAAGTTGATGCTAAAAACGAAGTTAAAATGAAAGCAGCACCATACTTAATAATCAGGTGGTTAGATTAAAACATGGCCGAGAATAGAAATCACGCAATTTAGAATCATAATGAAAACAGGTCTAGCACGTTGTTTCTCTAAATATTTCAATAAATGTATGTCAGATTAATGAGTTGATAATGGTAGAACCAAAAATGCAAGATGAATCTTGACAGGGTGTACATGAGGAAAATTCATTTCCAAACAAAACACATTCAAGCTTTAAGATAACATAAAGTCTAATTTCAAGTGAATTTTGAGATTCTTATTCAGGAGTTCTGAAGTGGTAAAAATACTGGAAGTAATCAGCAACATATTTCCAGATAGATAAAGATTTTCCTATCTATACATTTATATACAGTTAGCATTTGCATATTCAGAGACATGCAAATTTCTCAAAATAATCTGTTCTAAGAAATACCTTTCCTTGTGTTATTTTTTATAATATTAACTAGTCACAAACTTTTTCATGGCCAAACTAAAACACAGCCCAGACCAAAGTGGTACAAATGACAATTAGTGGAATCTGAAGTGACGGCATTTTTGCTATATTGAGCAATTTATCTTTAAGAAAAGCCTTGATTATTAAAACTCGTTATATACAACGATGCGAACTTGTTCCATTGGGGAGAAAGACAAGGACCTACTACTAGTGATTAGTTACTTTTGTCCACTTCTCCCTAGCATCTTCTGTAAATTGCAATGGATATGTGTAAGCCTCCTTTTTAAAAACATGATTCCAAATGTTTAACATAGAAGATTCAAAACAGTCTTTGGGCTGTACAGATGTAAGCAATATAATTAGCATTTGAAAGGCGCTATCAACATGGATTTCAAGTTGATGGTTACAAAGCTAAAGAGACAGTCACTCCCAGAGAGGAATCTCAGAACCTCACCCTGGTTCTGGAAAGACAAATTTGGTCAAGTCCTCGTTTCTTTCTCATTTTCTAATTCACAGTATGGTGTGGGTTTTATAGACTTTGTACTAATTTTGCTTCCTACCAAACTCCCTGGCTGACAAACATGAAGCTCAGCTGTCCCAAATGACCCAGGGGCAATGTTGTAGGGATGACACGCCATTACATCATCTCTCAGATCCCTACCTGAGTATTTTCTGGAGACCTCTCCCCTCCAATCAGTTTTCATCAATTTACCTAGCACCAGACTCAGAGATTTTGGGCTGGCATTTGGGAATACAAACTAATGAAGACATCAAATTAAAATATGGAATTAGTTTATTTGTTCTCTTGCTAATCCATTGCTCTTTAGATCTAAAAAGAGTATCCAAAACTGAAGGCCTGATGCCTCGCACCTCTTGCATTTTCACCAAATACATTATTTCCATCTCTGTCTTCCGAATCCCTTCAGTGTACTGAAGTTCACCCTTCAAAAAAAAAATGCTGAGCCAAAGAACAGGCATTTTCACATGGCTGCTAGTTTCAGAAGCTTTTCCTGAGCTGCCTGCATGTTCAACTTTTTGCTGCTTGAAATTTGTTAACTAAAACCTGGCACAATTAGAAGCTTAAAATGGGTGACCATCAAATGAGCTGACACTTGTTAGCACATTAGGTATATTTATAGAGGCTCGGGGAAGGAGAAAGCCATCAGCTGGTGCAGGAATCCTCGCCCTACACTTTTTAGAATTCAAAATCCCAGTGACAGTGGAATTTGAATAGGCAAGAAAAGATGTTTCTCTGCCAGTTTCAAATTTTCCAATTTTTCGCTTGCCAAGTCTCAACTTCTCTGAGTGCTTTGTAAGGTACAAATCTCTTGTGTGGGATAGAAAGAGCTTCCATAAATGGAAACTCTACTATCTTCTGTGGGACAACACTTGCCACCTTAATGAGTTGTGCTATAGGGAGTCGCTTCCAAAAAACATGAAGCCCCAAATTACAAATATAAGGCGGCATTATTATTTTTTGTCAAGGAAACCCAGACCTGAGGGTCTTGCAAAGGTGAAGAAGGCATTATTGGACCACGATTTACTTTTCTTCTCCCCTGAACTGATTTGCCTCTGCCACTGAGGGCCGTAAAGAAAAACACACACGTCCACTCACGCCCTCTACGCACCCACGCACACACACATTGCTCGTGCACATACCAAAGGCGTTTGCCTTTCCAGAGAGACTCTGGCACGATTTGGAAAAATAGCTTGCATTGTGAGCAATGACAACAGCAAACGGCTCTGAAGCTGGCGTCACTTTGCTGAAAGCATCCGACACGTTTTTGGGATGAAATTCAGAATCTCTGCTAAACACAAGACTGCTTTCCCCAGGCGGCGTCAATGAAGAAAACCCTTGGCGGGAAGGAAGAGCTAACCGGACCGCAGCGTGGCACCGACAGGCTTGGGCTGCAACAGTCCCCTCTCAGGAGGCGGGAGAGCAGGGGATGCCTTTAACAGGCACGCTAGGGGGTACTGTATCAGCGATTCTGAAGAGTTAGACCTTCGCTGTTTTAGGGCTTCCCTCCCTTTCCCTATCCTCTCTCCCAAGCCCTTTCTCCCAAGCCCAGCTCCCTTCCTTGGTTCCCTTCTTTGTTCGACTCGAAGTAAACGGCCACAGCCACGTATCCTCGTCCTACTTGAGCAGAAGGGACCTGCGCGTATACGGGTTTGTCCTCCAGAAGTGGAACTGCACTATGGTATCTTGCCGTGGCCGTTCCCGGAGAAGCTGAGCGGCAGACGCGGGAGGCGGAAAGGCCCCCGAGGCCCAGCCGGCTTCCCTCCAGCCCGCACCCCGGCACACGGTACCTTCTTTTCATTTTCCCGTCGCTGCTGGTCCTTGAACTTAATCTGGAGAAGCTGGAATTTCAGGAGCTTCCCTATCAGCGGTAGGGTCAGTTTCTCGCCGGCGTCCAGGATGGTCTTCGCTGCCATTAACACCTAGGAAGAAGCACAACTATGAGACGTGGCGTTTTCACAGCCTTCGGCACTGGCTGTCAGGGGTGGGAAGATGAAATGGCGGTTCCGATCCCCGACATCTGTCTTGCTGCAGAGGGGCCTCGGGCCGGCCAGGCGGGGCTCAGAGCCCGGGAGGGACGTTTATCCGCAGAATAACTCGGCTTGTCTAAACACCGGCCATCTTTTGCAATACGGGGGGAGGGGAGGGTGCTTCCCACAATGGTGTTAGGGCTCCCCCCGAACTGGGGGGGTGGGTGGGGTGACGACAGGTGGGGTGCGCTGGGCGTCGCGGCCGTCGGGTCTGGCGCCCTGGCACGGGAGCGTCTGTAAGGGGAGGGCGTCGGGCCAGCCCTCGTTTCTGGGGTCCGAATTCAAAGGCAAGATGAAAACGGCCCCAGGCGGCGCCAGGCGAGGGCCGCTCCCCACCTCGCGGGGCTCGGGCCGGTCCCGCTGGTATGCGGTCTAATTGGGGTGAAATGAGGTGATTGAGTTTTCTTTGGGTGACGACAGGCCCCGGGAACATACAGCTGTATTGTCCAGATGTGTGGCACTGACAGCCTGCTTTATGACTGTGCTTTTTACAGCTTGTTTCCCCTAAATTTCACACAACTCTCTAACATCTGGGACCTTCTCCTTGGAGCCCCATAACCACTTTATTTACTGCAAAAAAAATAAAATCACGTAAAACATCCCATAAAAAGTTGTTACGTGTTTCTCTTTATTCATGTTGTCTCCCTAATAAAGTTCACCTCGGCCGGAAGCGCTGGCACAGAAGTAATCTGGTCAGAAGTATTTTGCGACTTTTGTTTTTAAGCGGCCATCAGATTTATGGATAACCTCGGGATGAATTAGGTGTTACCAAAACGTCCTGACATGTTGTCTTTCTCCCCCCTCCGGGCCCATCTGGTGTCAATTTCAGAGGCTGGCCTCACACAACAAGGGTGCTCTCCGCATCCTGTCTGGGCTCCCTGACCCATCTGGGTCCTCGTGAGGCTCCACTTTGCCAAGGGAGAGAGCTGAGAGCCGTGAGCAAGGGCCGGGGTCTTGGACTCCGTCGGCGCTGCGCGGGCCGGTGGGCCGCCGTCTGCCAACATGTAGCTGGGTCACAGCAGGGCTTCCGGTGCCGGAAGGCCAGGGGCCGGGCAGGGGCAGGCGTCCTCCGGCGCTGCCTCGGCTCCAGGCCCAGGGGGCAAACCCAGTGTCAGAAGGTCCTGGGTGAGCCTGAGCCCCCTGCCCCAAGCACAGGGCTCTGGCTGACAGCGCTGAGGGAGAGAGAGACGTGAGGGCTGTGGCTTCTGGGGCCAGGAAGGCGCAAGGGCGTACCTGGGGAGCCTGCCCCTTAGTGGGGGCCAGGTCGGGGGGTGGCGGCCCTCAGGGAGCCCAGAGCTCCGCGCTTTGCTGCAAAATGAACGCGCCTGGCTGACTCCCATCCCGAGGGGAGATGGATTTGGTTGGAAGTGGGATTTTTCGATCCCAGCTAAAATGTGTGCTGACAATCGGGCCGCTCTGTGGCATCTGGTTCAAGACGCGCCAGTTTGGGTTCTCAGAGTTCACCGCGGGCCAGTGCGGGGCGTTTCCCCGTTATACAAATAGAAGGACGGTGTTGAAGGAGGCCAGCACCAGCGCGGGCTCGCCGAGCGCCGTGTGCAGCCTCTGTTCCTGATGACCTGTGAAAACAGGATATTTACCTCCGTCTGGGGTGGTTTGGGTGAAGCCTGCCCGGCGTCACGGTGATGGATGGGACGTCTCTGGAGGCGCGTTCTCTCCCCGTGTCTCTGGGAGGCTCTGAGTGTTACCTCACTATGTTAAAATGTAGTCAGAGCACAACAAAACGCCCCAAGAGGAAGCTATTTTGCAGACCGTAAAAGTTATTTCTGGTCCACCTACAACAGTCTGTAGAACGCTGGGCTTAAAACCGGAGGCTGGCCCCGTTTCAGAATCCCAGTGGACGCCCGCTGCGATGTGGAGTTCGTGATGGGCAGTGTCACCAGCCTGCCGCGCGCCCGTCAGGCGGGGCCCAGGGCGAGCAAGAGCGGGCCGCGCCAGGGAGGGCCCAGGCGATACTCCTGCCTCCCTGCACACCCTGGGCTGCGCCCCCCGAGACGGGCCGGGTGCCCGAGACCCCCGGAGAAAGGCGAGGCGTGCTGGGGACCCCCTAAGAGGCAGCAGGGTTGGGGTTGCCCAGGGCACCGGGGAGGTCGGGCACACACCAGCCACTTTCTCTGTGCGCCTGCCCCAAGGGAACGAGAGGGTGTGTGTTCCCTGGGTGGTTAACAAACATGCAAGTCTCTGCTCAACTTAAAATCTGAGGCTGCGACTTTCTATGTGATGTGGGTTAATGCCAAGAGACACAGAGAAGAAAGATGTTTACAAATTAACTTCTACTGAGTATTCTTCTCACACTCCATAATTCACAATTCCACCCAATCTGGAGCCAGTAGCTTGGTCTCAGATGGGAAATAAATCCTTAGAGGGCTCTTGTTTCAAGGAGAAGTCTCTGAGGGAAGGGAGGAAAACACTGCCGGAGGACAGAAGTCAAGAGGAAATGCAGCTTTTCTCGTCAGGTTGTGGAGAGGCCTCCCCGCTCGCCTCGCCGTGGCCGAGAGGCGGAGATACAAACCCAGCCTCCGAGCTCCCAGCAGCCTGCGGGCTCCTTGGCGTGTGTAGTGAGCGTGTGCGCCTGCGGGCATGTGTCTGTATGTCTGCGCGCGCACACGTGTGTGTCTGCGTGTCTGTGTGCCCACGCCTGCCTCTGCGTGCCAGCGCCTGCATGTCTCTGCTGGTCTGTGTGTGTGCCGGGGGGCAAGCTGACAGGGGGGAGGTAGGTGTCAGCAGGATGAGGGGTACAGGAGGAAATGAGAGCGGTGGGCTGGTCGGTGTTGGGGAGTAATTTCAGTTTCCAGAACTGGGCAGAAAAACATTCCTAAGTGGGTTAAAACGTGGGTACTGATCCAGCCAAAATCCCAAATAAATGAGCCTGGCATGAGTCAGAAACTTAAGAAACGAGTCATATGGGCAAATGAGACTCATTAAAATGGAGAAAGTGGTTGCCAGGCCAGGCATGTACATGGCTCCTGGACCCACTCAGGCCACACTGAAGGGCCTGCCAGGGCGGGGGCGGGGGCGGGCCCGGCCCGGCCCCCAGAGGTGCCCCCTCCTGGGAAGGACGCGTGCAGGGAGGCACGGAGCTTCTCCGAGGTGACTGGGGCTGGACACACCTGCACTTTACTGCGTGAAGATACCAGCGTCCCTCTTTTGTGAGGAAGGTTTGTGATTTTGAGCACACGGGAAATAGAAACATCCCCTTTTTATCACTGACCTGGCTCAAGGTCTGAAGTCATGTTTACTACTCACTGATCAGGTCCAACAAAAATACACCAAATAAGCCAGATTCTCCCCTGGCCTGGGGACTAGGCCCGGCCGCTGGCAGTGCTCCCTCCGCCTTCCACCCTCACGTTCACACGGCATCTGCCCGGACAAACACTGAGAGCTGCTTTTCCATGGAAACCCATCGCATACAAATGTGTGTACACGTGTACAGATATGCACGTCTATACACACACATGATGTGCAGATGCAAATCAGACGATGGCAGAGACAGATGATAGGTAGTCGGGGGACAGACTGACAGGTGCCAGGCGGGATCCCCGCGAGGACTGTTGCTGGTTCCCTGCTGTGCTTATAAGGAGGCCTAGGGAGAAGGGAACACATCACCTCACCAGTTGCACGTTCTGTCCAGGTGAGTTCTGAAGAAGGGTGATGCCTTGGAATCAGCATTTCGCTTGCCTGGAACAGGCTGGGGGCGGGGAGGAAGGAAGGGGAAAGGAAGGGAGTGGGCTGTGGGGAGCCCCTCCCTCCAGGAGCTCTGCCAAAAATATCTCTGGGTCTCAGGGGCCCCCTGGGGGTCCACGGATCTGCGGCAGGAGCCGCAATGACGCGTGAGGCAGGACCTCGCGTGAACCCACGGCCCTTGTTGCAGACCTCAGTGAAAGGGGCAGAATGTGTGGCCTTGACTCAGCCTGGGTTAGCACCGGGGCGGAGCGAGCAGGGTTGGGACACGCAGAAGACCCAGCATCAAATCGCCTTGAGCAGACCGACCCGTCACAGGTCACTGATTCTGTGTCACGGGCCCCATCGCGGGAAGCGTCCAGCAGGTACCCACAGGATGTACAACGGAAAGGTGTCCCCACCACCGGGCCCTCCCTCTTCCGGGCTCTCCCTGAGCTCCCCTCCTGTATCCACAGGTAACTTCCTTCACACGTGCAGATACCCCAAGCCCGCCCTGAAGAGTCTGCAGCAATGGGGTGCCCTCCTCTTCCCCTCCCTCGTTCCTTCTGCATTTACTCTGCCGACTGCCTGCGTCACCAGCATTGTGCTCTTTCCCATTCACTCCTTCGCTCTGCCCCTGCCCCAGACTTTCCAAGGAGGTGTAACTGGACACAGGGACGCAGCCGGGCAAGGGGAGCCCAGAGCAGGCCAGGGAGAGAGGTGCGCAAGAGGCAGGAAGGTGGAACGACAAACAGACTTCCTCACTTGGAGCAGAGGAAACGAAGGTAGTCAAGGAATATTAAGCTGTCTGTACACACGGCGAGGCCACCCACACGCATCACACCGCGCACAGACAGGGAAGCGCCCAGAGAACACTCAGCCGGCCGCGGGAAGCGCTTGCCACCATGATGAATGCGCCGAGCAGGTGACTCCGGGATCGTTTTCAGCTGCCCGTAATTAAACCGGTATCCATCTCTCCACAGCGTCAGGGCTGTAAAATAATTCCAGTCCTTGGGCCCCTTACATCTGTGCTGAAATGAAATAATATTTGGCAGTAACAGGGAGTCACCGAAACTAAATAAACAAGCCCTTTCGCGACTACATGGAAGCCAGTAACATAATAACGTTTGACAGGGATTAAGACCTCTTTGGGGCCTTACGGAAGTTTCAGAAGCATCAGTAACAAATACAGGGAAGGTGGAGGAGAGCTGGCT